GGGCGGGCCCCTGTAGCTCCAAGGCGCCCTTTGGTAGCCAAAGTGCTGGACCCACATGTGCATCTCACCTGCTTTCCTTGCTTGCCACCCACCTCCCAGTTTCCCCACTCACCCTATTTTGGGCAAGCCCTCTTGCCTCTTTTGTCCTCCCTGGCAATGGCTGTTAAGTGCAGGGGCCCGTGACTGAGCACCCGGTGCCCCGTGGTGGTGGGTGCCCTGGCAGGGGCTGTGCTAGAGGGGCAGGGAGGTGATGGCGCACGGCGGGCAGGCAGCCCTGCAGCAGGAGATGGAGTGAAACCTCATTCTTTCCCCCCAAAAAAAAGGAAAGGGGCAGCTTGGGAGGGCAGGTTCCTTGCTTGGCAGTGCCCAGGCACTCGTCTGGACCCGCAGCCGCTGCCAGACCCTGGCAGGAGCCCAGGGTGCTGGGGATGCCTGTGCGCCCCGCGATGGAGACACCATTTTCGGTGTGCACAAAGCTGGGAGACCTGCGGCTGCCTTCTCCGCACCAGATCCCGACCATCTGGCAGAAGGTGGCCGGCCAGGCTGCCCGGCTCCGTTCTGTAATTACACTTTGCAGAGCCACGTCCCCTCCCGGGGCTTGAGCCGGCTGGACCCCAGGACACACGTTTTTCATCCACGTTGCTCTTAGGCTTCTGTAGCCCAGGCACCTAAAATGTGCTTCGGGAGACCTCGCGGTCTGCGCACAGCCACGGCGAGGAAAAACCGGCAAATAACGCACGACAGCACAAGCTGAAAGCTTCAGCCATTTTAAGGTGAGACATTCCCACTGCTGATGCACTGTATTTTGATTTGGGACCTATAAAAAACATTACCAGAAGGTGTGGGGTTGTAGGATGCTGCAAACCCTTGCTTTGATTACACATGCAAGCAGCCATTAATGCGAACATCAAGGAAATGTAATGCACAAAGAAAAATAACCCACCGCTAATTTGCTCAGCTGTAGCTCACGACCAACGGTGTTGGGCACGGACCCCACGTACACAAGAGCTGGCACCGACGTCTGGGTGATCCTTCACCACTCTAACACGAGCATCAGGGAGGCAGATGCCACCCTGCTCAGCACTGTCCCCTCCTCGAGCCACCACCCAGCACGGGAAGGTGCCAAATGAGAAGGGAAAACAATTCAGGTCAAACCAGCACAGGCACAATCCCACCCAGCACCGAGCGTTTTCCCAAGCCCCAGTTAAGCCCTTGCCTTGAGTAGCCACCGGACCTCGTGCAGACACTCCGCTCAGGGATGAGTTAGACCCTTGGCAGAGGTCCAGCCTCCTTCAACACCCACTAAGCTCAAATTCTGGGGGAATCGGGTCCCGGGTCCCTCTCCAGTTTATCTTTACAGTTGTCAATCACAAGGAAGTTTCCAGCACAGATCTGCATAATTTATTGGAGGGTGTGAAGACTAAAGAACTACTTTAAGCACTGCCAGCTCTCCCACGAGGACTACGGATACGACCACAAAGCGAAGGCCTGATGCAGTTTCTGGCATGGAAAGAGGTGGTATGATGCTGGCTGTAATAGGTTTATGGACATGTCTACCAGGCTAATCAGCTCGGGAAGGATGCATATTGATGACCACATGACTGATTTTTACTGAATTACTTTTTCTAATGTGGCAAGAGATGCTGGCTGAAACACAGTGCTCATTCAGAGCCCCTCATCTAGTAACGCAATCTGAGCACATGGCAAGCCGGCAGCGTTTGGAGCCAGTGATGACAGGAAAATGATAATTTAGCAGCATTTTAAGCTCAGATGCAGTTAAACTTCTGTATAATGTCATTACCAAAAACGTTAAATTTAAGTTCTGCCTTTAATCTACAGCCCATGGAAAGAGAGAATTAGACAGAAATCTAGTGACCCTACTAAAAAGCAGCCAAGACCAGACAAAGTTCAGAGCAGCCAAGATCATGCTCATGATTCTTAGCATCGCTGAGGGCTCCTCAAGTGCCTGGCCAGCCTTGCAGATCTTCTGTAAGAGCCCCAAGTGCTCGAGAGTCAGTGAGACCCCTCAAGGCCATGGGAGCTATTTCAGAGCTTGCCAGGTCTCCCACCTTGTATTTCTCATGGAAGTCTCCTGGAGAGTTCTCAGCCCAGTGCTGGGTGTGCCAAGTAGCCACCTCCATCTGCGTCTGCAGGGCACCTGGAGCTGGCAAGGTCCGCTCCAGCGAGGGAGCTTTGCAGGCTCCAGCTCCAAGCCTTTACAAGAGCTGTGTGCTGGAGCCCTGCAAGCCCAAACGTACTCCCCACAGCACCTCAAACCAGCACTCCTGCAGCTTCACCCCGGGTGGGAAACTCCTCAGAAGTCCTCTGTCCTGAGGGTGCACGGTAGCGACAATGCTAGAGCCATATTCTTCTTCATTCACTGCCTGGGTCTTCTGCTCCTGAGCTTGCTTTTTCTGATAAAAACAAACACACCTTTTACCGTGAGCACAAATACTGCCCTTTCCAACCCCCTGGAGAATCAAAACAAACCTGAACCAGGACGGAAAGGGCCGCTCCCTCCCTCCAAGAACCTATTCCTGGCACATCAAACCATCACCGGGCACATCCCTTACCAAAGTCACAACTCAGAAAAGCGCATTTGCCTTGCTGAGAGACAACGATCTGCTGCATTACGGACCAAGACCCATACCAGTGCAAAGCTGAGCACATAAGGACTTTGCTGGATCCCAGCCGAAGTAACCTCTGGTCATAAAAGTTCCCTATCACGTATCAAAGGCTACAGGGACGGCCACTTTGCTGCCGTGCCTCTGCCAAGCAATCAGATTTGGCTGCCCTAGCCCAGTCCTTTAACGAAGGTTCTGCTCTTAAAAGCATAAGACTATTGCAAGGAAATCCCAAACAAAACACAGGGCCCAATGAGATAAAATACTGCATAGGCAAAACTCTCTCCAGCGATCCAGGTGATGAACTACAAATTTATTTGACTTTAAGAAACAAGAGAAAAAGGCAGCAGGTAGGGTCAGGCTGACGCACGGGTTGCAGGCACCACTGTCCAGCCGGGCAGGTCATGCAGGCTGCAACAGGGGATTGTCAGAGCAAGAAACAACCATTTTAAAGAAAATACTTAAATATTTCTCTAAGCTGTAGTAAAATAGGGACTGGATCTCCTGCTGCGCTCCACGGAGGCAGAGGGAATGGCTGGGTGGGTGGAGAGAGGTGTGAGTGCTCCAGACCTTCCAAGCCGGCTGCACCGGTGGGACCGGGCACCGCACACTGCCAGCACCGGGCAGGGCAGCTCCGCAGCGCCTGACCACTCCGACTCGTCTTCCATCGATGGGCATTTCCACCCACATCTGCCCCATCTCAAACCATATGTATTTGGGCTTCCAGCTTTTATGGCGAAAATCGAAATGTCAGCAAATAAGGCTTTTACTGTTGTTCCTATGGAAATTCACAGGAATTACTGGAAACATTTACGTTACTGGAATATTTTCCAGAATTGTTTTTAAAAGTCAAACCTAAACCTACGTTAAATGAACAATGCCCCTGCAAAGCTGCGTGGCCATTTGAAAGTAACCGGTGCTGGCAGTCACAGAGAAAGGAACTCATGATTCTGCGGGCATCCTTCATGAATATCGAGTTTGTTTTGCTGGGCAAAAAAAGTCTCAAAAGGAAACCACAAAAGCGATCACATCTTCATCTGACAAACTGCATTAGACGGAGGGGGAAGAGATGAATGAGGAACTGTTAAATGGTTCTTTCCAGCTTTTGATTTTACAGCTCATGCCAGGAGGGGGTTTTTCCCTTCAGATACTCAGAATTACTGCATCTGTCAGCACAAGTAATGTCAGGTAGAAGCAGGAACCACTTTTGCCATCACTTACAGTTGGGGATTTCTACGTTGAAGTCACCATTCACTTGCCAGTCCCTTAGGTGTTTGCCAGCGCAAGGTCCAAATTCCCCACCCCGAAGCAGCTCCCGAAGTCATAAAAAGGAGCTGGACCCTCCTTTGGTGGTAGTTCATCACGAAACCCCAGCGATGGCCATCAGCCAGATCAGCAGCAACGGTGCTTCTCCATCACCTGTACTCCCACCCAAACCAGCACATCCCAGGCAGCTCCCAGCTTTTCACTCCGAAGGAACGTAACGTCGTACGCGCAGCAGGGTTACGTCTCCGAGGTTTGCTCCGATTGCACAGGTCAAACACGTTTAAAAAGACGCAACAACAAAGCACAGGAAGGAAAACCACATGAAGAAAACCCACCCCAACACCTGAAAGCCTCAGTCAAGGGCTTTCCAAACAACCCTCCATGGCTGTTACGTGCTGGCACGGGCTCGTGTCCCCCGTGCTGGCAGGCAGGCGAGCCCGGGAAAGTCTCTGTTTGCTTTGGCAATCAGGGAGCGGCACGGCGAGGCGTCAGCCCGTGCCGCCCGGCCGGCCACCAGCACGCTGCGGTAAGGTGCCAACGCCATTGCATGCCACGGCACTGCCGCGCTCTCCCGGGGCGGCAATGACGAGCGTCAGGGCAGAGCAGAAGGGCAGCAGAGATCTCGCAGGAAAACCCTTTTGGCTGCCTCCTCCGGCCAAGCTCTCCATCTTGACGCGGGTCTCGCCTGGCAAGAGCAGCAAAGCTGAAGGAGAGAGCGATGGCCACGCAAGCAGGCGGGTGGGAAAGCCCCACTCACACCTCTCACCCCACTGAAGTCCCTGCTCGCACTGGAAAGGAGCCATAAATGCTGAACTGGTTTAAGACACAGGTAACGGCACTGCAACAGCCGAGCGCAGGGCAGCCAGGGCTCTGAACCCCCCAGCTGGAGCAGCAACAGAGAAGGGTCCCCGACAGATCTGCCAGTAAATGGGAGACCTGGGAAAAGCTGTCAAAAAGGGCTTTTGAGGTGAGCTCCTATGGCCTGACCCCCAGCCCACCGAAAACAGCAAAAAAGTCCCTTTGAGCTCAGCGGGCTTTGGCGCCGACTCAGCACCGCAAACATTTACGCCTGGGACAGCTCTGTGCACATCCCACATTCATCCACGTCCGTGGGTCCCTGCACTTGTTTGGGGTTAAGCTGATGCATTTCTGCAGTCGGAACCACTCCGTTTCCAGATTCCCTGTGAAGGCAGAACCCTGAAACGAGTGACTTTGCCATCGAATAAACCAGCCAGTGACTATACGCATGAATATCCTCTAAGCTGGAATTTTTATTTTATCTCTGTATTCCATATTCTGCTCCTGCTTCCCAGCAGTGTCCGATCCCTTTCTGTACGACAAGGATAGTGAGCTCTTGGGGTGCATGGTGGCAGATTTATTTTACGAGGGGCCTAACTCACCAGCACTGGGTCAACAATTTATCTAACCGTACCCAAAACCAACATCACTGCCAACAGTTTGCCACTGCCACTCAAGGAGGATCGAGGAAGATCCTGGTGGATCCAGACCAAGTTTTCTGGACTGAGGCCAAGCTTCTAGGAAATGATGCTGCCAGGTGCCCGAATCCTGCCCAAAACACCCCATCCACCCCAAGCTGGATGCTCCAGATCCATAACCGGCCTCTGTTCTTCTCCAGTAATGGAGTTGGGGGCTCTCTCAAAGCCCTGGAAAGCACGTTGGCTCCCATCCAGCAAAACATTTAAGCATGTGGTTTAATGTTAAGCATGTGATTACAGCTGGAATTGCTCACGTGCTTACAGATAAGCACATGCTTCCATGCCGTGCTGTGCAGGGCCTCGGCCAGGGCCCCCCACCCCAGAGAGCCCCATAAACGCGATCGCCGTGTTGGCTGGAAGGAGGGCAGCAGGGGGGACAGCATCTTCCCATCACACCGTTCCTTTGCTCACCGCCTGCGTTTGGCACTGCTGAAGGTGACACGGAGCCAGCGCAGGTGGCCGAGGGCCTCCACGCACAGCAGAGGCACGGCATGGGCGAGGATGAGCCCCCCAGGCCTGGCTCGGCTCGGCCACAGCCTCCGGCCAAGCACCGGAGCCAGGAGCCAGCACGGTGAGAGCCAGGCAGACCCTCCCCACCGAGGGCTTTTGGGAAGGGCCAGGCATTGCAGAGCTCCCAGGACCATGCACACTTGCAGAGCTCAGCAGGTGAATCCGGGCTGGGGGAGGCAAACGAGCAGGTGCCCTTGCCCCTCGGGCAGCCGGGCACCACGGCCCCCGTGAGCATCAGTGCGCAGCCCCCCGTGCTGCTTATTCACAGACGGTTGGTGAGCGAAGCCTTCCCTGAGCCGCTGCACAGCATATTCCAGCTCCTGCTCTCCGCTCCGCAGCACGAACCCGTCCATGGGAAACGGCCAGAAAATATGCCATCTTTTAGCAGAACTGGGGGAGCGGGGCAGAGCTGGCTCTCGCATTTCTTGTTACACACACACACACACACATGCACGGAGCGTGGAAGGAAGTAAAACGTCCTCCGCCTCCTGATTTACACCCCCATCCCCTCGCCTTTTATTACCAGGGATAAAACTGGCAAGGGGCAACGGCACATCCACCCACCGCACCTTGCCCCGCTCC